GCCCTACTTTTGGAGTGCATTAACTCTACTTATAAAGGACCCAAACCCTTCAGATTCATTAATGCTTGGACTTTGGATGATAGTTTTTATCTAATGGTAAAAAATTATTGGAACTCTATCTCTAATGGTAGAGGAATGAGGGGTCTAGCCAACAAGCTCAAGGGTCTTAAATTCTGCATTAAGGAATGGAATGCTAACCATTTTGGCAATATTTTTACTAAAGTCAAGGAGGCAGAAGATGCAGCTATTAAAGCACAGGAAAGGTTTGAATCATGCAACACAGATGATAACAGAGAGGCCTTTCATCTAGCAAATGCAAACCTTCTCAGGGCATGCAAAACTGAAGAAAACTATTGGGCACAAAAGGCAAATATCAAGTGGCTAGCTAGTGGTGATGCTTCTACCAAATATTTTCACTCTCTTGTTAAAGGAAAGAGAAGGCAAGCTAGCATCAGAGAACTTAAAGACCATTCAGGGAAGGTGCTGCTAGATCCAGACCTTATTGCTAATTACATTTCCAATCATTATGAAGCTACATTCTCTGAGGACTATACTGGGAATCTAGGGGACATCATTGCTAACGTTCCAACTGTTTTTAATGACCTAGATAACCAGTGTATCACTACTCTCCCTCTCGAAGAAGAAATCAAAGCAGCAATATGGCAACTCAATCCCAACAGCTCTGCAGGTCCTGATGGTTACAATGGAGAATTTTTCAGACACTTTTGGGATATCATCAAGGCAGACCTTATCAGTGCCACTCATGAATACTTTCAAGGCATCCCCATTCCTATGGCTTTTGGAAGTACTAATATCACTCTTATTCCCAAGGTGGAGGGAGCTAGAGAAATTGGTGACTACAGACCTATTGCTCTATCTACCTTTTTTAGTAAGATGCTGTCCAGGATTGTGGCTAACAGACTTGGCCCTATGCTTAATAAAATAATCTCTCCTGAGCAAGCTGGTTTTCAAAAAGGGAAAGGTATTGAGGAGCATATCCTTCTAACCAATGAACTGATGCACAACCTAGACTCTAAGGTTAGGGGAGGTAATGTTATGATCAAGCTAGACATGGCCAAAGCCTTTGACAAGATCTCCTTGAACTACCTTCAGGCCATCCTTCAAGCTTTTGGGTTTAATGAACAAAGCATCTCTCTCCTTCTCCAAAACTTAAGGGCAACTTACATGTCTGTTTTAGTGAATGGGAAACCCAATGGGTTCTTTAAGATCAAGAGGGGAGTCAAGCAAGGTGATCCTCTTTCCCCCCTCTTGTTTATTATAGGATCTGAGGGTTTTGCAAGAAGCTTAAATCATGCCATCAATTCTGGATACATCTCCCCTTACAAGGTGGGAAAGAATAGAGTGGTATCCCATCTTGCTTTTGCAGATGATCTTATTATCTTTCTTAAGGGAGACCTTAGGAATATCCTAAGATTCAGACACCTTCTGGATAGCTATCTTAAGGCTTCAGGACAGGAGGTTAATAAAAAGAAAAGCAGGATTTTCTGCAGGAAAGGGAGCAGAGGCTTATACACTAGAAAGCTGGAAGATACTTTAGGGTTTAAGATGGGAAACCCTCCTTTCAAATACTTGGGTTCTACTATCACTCAGGGTATACTCAAAAAAACTCACTGTGATCATATTCTTCACCATTTTGATGCTTATATCAACAATTGGTATAGTAAAGAGCTTAACCCTATGAGTAACTCATTCTTATCAAGCATGTCCTAAGTGCAATTCCTATGCATACCCTTGATGTCCAAGATCTTCCTAAATCCATTATTAGGACCATACATGGCAAATTGGCTAACTTCTTCTGGGGGAGCAAACAAGGAAGGAACCATTACCATTGGGCCAAATGGGACACATTAACTAGACCCACTAGAGAGGGAGGTCTGGGGATCAGGAACTTGGAAGATATTCAGAAAGCCTCAGCTTTAAAACTCTGGTGGAAGTCTCTTACAGGGAATTCTCTCTTGGCCAGATTTATGAAGAACAAATATGCAAGGGAAGGAACTTTTGAGGCTAAGATTTATGACTCTACTTCTTGGAAAAGAATCTGTAGAATCTCTCCTATCGGTCTACAATTCACTACAAATACCAACCAGAATGTTAGCTGGGTCAATGGTAACTTCTCCTTCAAAGAAGCATATTGGGCTGTTAGAGAGAGGGATGTTAGCACTCAAATCAACACACTGACTTGGAATAAGTTCCAAATCCCTAAAATTAAGCTCTTCACTTGGAAAGCTCTTAACCAATATTTACCCTTCCCTAATATTCTCAACAGACTGTCCTATAACTTGCCTAGCAAATGTCCATTTTGCAATAACAATGAGGCAACAGATTCTCACATTTTGCTTACATGTGATTTATCAAGGAGTATCTGGAAAGACTTTGCATATTATACTACGGGGCCAACCAGGACTAATGCGATGGATCTTAGGGAATACATGTTGGAGTGGTGGCTGTCACATAGCAAAACATCTCTAAGAGGATTATTAAGGTTAGTTCTACCTGGCTGTATCATTTGGAATCTTTGGAAAGCATATAACAGAAGCATCTATGAAGACACAATGGAATCGAGGATTGGGATAACCATTGAAATCCAGAAAATGATTCAACATTGGGTATGGTCCAACAAGAAAGTACAGAAGATTGCAAGCAAGGAGGAAATTGAAGCTCTTAATCTCAAACCTTACCTCTCCAAGGACAAATGAATGCCATGGACGTTGCGCTGCAGATCAAATTAGGAAGCTGCTTCAGAGTTAGAGGCAGTCGACTAGGCTCTTCTTTCTTGTATTTGCTCTTTCTATATATATTGTTGTATCTTTTACTTTTGGGGCTTCGGTCTAGTCCTCCCCGAACGTGTTCGAATCTTGTTTAATAAATTTGGTAAGGCAGCTCGGACCTTACCCCACTGATTTTGGTGGTTTTTTTTCCGGGCCATATATATATATATATATATATATATATATATATATATATATATATATATATATATATATATACACACACACACACACACACACACATACATACATACATACATACATATATATATATACACACACATACATATATATACATATATATATATATACATATATATATATACACACACCCACACACACTATGATGTGCTAAGATATACTCTATTTATTCGTGCTACTAAACACGTTACATAATCACACAATAGGATATAGATGAATTGTGTTGATTTCAATAAAATTCTCAATCACTTAGAAAAAGTAAAACAAGTAGTATCTAGTATACTTGTTTTATGAACTTATAAATTTAGTTCAAAAAATAAATAAATAAATAAAAAGTTATTAATTATACCTAAAAACTATTACTAAATTGTGTATGTTTTATATAACAATAAATATGAATACTTATACCTAAAGAATAATTTCTTTTAGAAGAAATACCTAAAAAATTAATTATTGTCATCAATAAAAATTAAGAAATATTTATTAATTATACTTTAATATATTAAAGTTAAATGTTTCTTCTAGTTTTTCCCGTTTCAATCAACTAAATAAAGTATGAAGTGTTACATACTGATTACAACGTACCATATAAGAACACATTAGCTAACTTTTACTTTTTTTAAAATATGAATATTGCCATACTATTTTATTATTTATTAGATTTTCATTATATATCTGTAATAGCAATAATAATAATACAATTAGAAAATGAAATGTGTGACAGTGTATGCAAAATGATATTGAAAGCTAGATGGAAGAGTCAAAAAACACAAATTAAAATTCCTAATTAATTAAAAATATCCAACAATGTAATATAAATTATCATTATTTTAATCATAGTTGACTTGGTTGGTGACCCCGAATTGACCAGTTTGACCAATTAAACTTGATCCACTAGCTCGTCCGGGTCGACATCTGGTCTAGTTTTTAAAATATTGGTTTGGGGAGGTAAGTATATACGGAGTATAAACTATTTACCATTATTTTGTCATTTACTCATTTTCTTATAAAACTATTACGTTAATTATCATTTAAATATAAATAGTTTGCACGCTTTAATTTGTGAACGCATTAGGGATAAAGCTTTTAGGACCTTTTCTCTGTCTCGGTCTAGGTCATGGAATTCTTAAGGCGACCCTGATCTACGTGATACTCAAGTCAAAGTAACTGCATGGAGCCTTCATTTTATCGAGATTCGCAGTTCAGCGATCCAACTAATTCACTTGATCGAGGTTGGCCGTTATTCATTGTAAGTTAGAATACTTTTTAAATATTTTCAAAATTATTGTGTGGTACACTTTGAGAAAGTGTGAAGTGTATAACTTACTCCCTCCGTCCCCCTGTTTTTGTCCACTTTGGTTTTGGCACAAAAACCAAAGTGGAGAGCAAAATGACATATCTACCCTTGAAGTAAAAAAAGTAAAAAGAGTTCTAGTGTCACTTGCCCTTCGCCCATCAATATCCTCCGCCGCCCCAACCTAAACTATCCAACCCCTCCACTGCCCATGGCCACGCGGACCCATTCCCTCCGCCGCCCAAACCTTCTGCAAATTCCCTTCATCGCTTCAACCTCGCCGGCCATTCCCTATGCCGCCTAAACCCGCCCGCCCTTTTCCTCTGTCGCTTCAACCTTGCCGGAGATCTATATTTGGAGAAGGTATCCACCCTTTGAAGACATCCAGCCGCCATCCAACTCGATTTATAGCATGGATTATGTGCTGCTCAGATATGTCGAAAAAGAAAAGGGGGTTACTCAATAATTAGTACGCCATATTTCTTTGCCTTGAGTTTGATCAACGTCTTCTCATATTCGCGGCGGTTTGGCATTATCAAAACTTGTCATAAAACGAACACGGCTTTAGTGCGACCTAGGCGTAAACATGTGTTCCATCATTCAAGAGACTGGGACTTAGTGGATTCGAAAATCCTTAAATTAAGATGGATGTTGGCCTTGAATGCCGTATCCCGTAACTGTTTTGATGTGCCAAATAAGTCCTCCGAATGTTACTACTATAAACCTCTCAAATAGGAGTAAAACATATGTTATATTCTCAAATAGGAACTCAAACTTAAACTCCTAGTAATTAACTTATTTAAGTTTTGGTCGAGATTTTCTCTCTCTAAAACGGCGTTGTGTTCTTCGCAGTTTTGGCCGGCTATCTAGATTGCCATTACCCTTGAATTTGTGATTCGTTTTTCTTGATTTTTAGCTCTTTTGGATCATCTTGAGTAGCTCTTTATGATTCTGAGATTTTCGCTGTTGATTTAGGGCTGAATCGAGGTCAATTGAAGTTGGTATCCCTCGAAATCACTATTCATCCTGATACTTTGTAGGTCTGATTTTGATGGATTTTTCGCTAAATTGAAGCCTAATTCTTGAGGGATTGTGAGCGGCTAGTTTAGACCATGAGATTCTTAAGTTTGTTGATCAATTGAAACAAATATTCTTGATTTTGGCCAAGATTGGGTTTTGGAGCACTGTTCACAGTGTGACTTGGAGTTCTAATCATGAGCAAGTTCTTGGTGTATCTCTTCTCTGTTTTTCTGGTGTTTCTTGGTAGAATTCAATGAGTAATTAACTATTTTTTTCATTTACAATAATTATAATATAATATTAAATATATAAGTTATATTTAACACTCCTTTCACCCCTCTCCACCATTTTTGTTGCCTCCGAAAGGTGATACTTCCATAGCCTTGTGTAAGTTTGAATTCAATTTCATATTCAATCTGACATAAGTGGTTACATTCCATTTAAAATCTGAAAATTTACTTCTTATGGAATTAATTTGTAAAATCGGTACTAATTCTTTCAGGTGTGCTTAAGTCTGAATTTAATTTCACATAAGTTGTGACATTTGATTTTGAATTTGGATTTACTTCTTAGCAAATTATTTTATAAAACTGGTATTGAAATTGAATGATTATGGTGTTGGCAGATTATAGAGTTTCTTGACATTTGATTTTTTTGGAAATTATGCATTAATATGTGTGATATGTAACATTATACATGGACATATATGTCCTTACACATTGCCTTGTGTGGCATTATACATTATCATGTTTAGCATTATATAGGTGAGCCGACTATGAATGACAAGGTCTCCCTAGATGAGGTGGTGCACAACCAGCTATGAGTGATACAATGACATATTTGTTCTTAATCTGTGCAATATTTGGCATTTTGCTTCTCTTTGACATTATATAATGGCATATTTGTACTTATTAGTGGCTATGTTAGGCATTATAGATTGTAATCTTTGGTATTGTTGCATTGTATAAAGAGTATTTTTTCTTGACAGTCATGATAAAACCATAATACTACATATGACAACGATGGCAGATCCCGGTGGTGTTGGCGGCGAAGGAGGCGAGCTTGGTGATGTAGGAAATCATCGGCAACACTCAATTGCACGGTGTCGGGCTCGGCGGTAGGTCATGAGTAAATGTCGGTGGTGTTGGCGGCAACGGTGGCCATTTTGGTGATGTGAGAAGTCACTAACGATAATATATTGCACGCGTGGGGGTGTGGAGGCAGTTCTTGGTGGCAGTGAGTGACCGTTGCACATTTTATGCTAGATTGTTGGTTGACAAGCATAAAACAACCTTCCGTCACCATCTTTACTTGTGACAACTTAATCACAAGAATATTGCTAAAAATTGAGTAAGAGATCAACATGAAGGGAGTACGTGAGAAGATTAATTAGATTTTTTTAATTTATTAAATGTATTTCGATTCATTAGTGGAATTACAATTTATTGCATGTAGCATGAATGTTTGAAACATGGATTTGCTCTAACAAATTAAATTTATTAAGTGTGTGTCTATGTACAAATATATTTATAACTAAAAATATTTTAAATAAATGGAAGAAGAAGAAAGTGTATACGCTACTGTTATGTCTATTATGAGAAGTTACAAATCTAGAAGTATTACTGAAGTGTTGTCGACAATGTTTTGGTTTCATTCAACAAGAGGCTCGCAACCTTCTCTGCTATATTCTTTCTACTTTGTGTTTCTTTTTTTAATTGTTGGACAAGGTGATTAATTAGATTAATTAAATTAATTACTCCTATTTAGGTGAGTTTAAGTTTCAACTCTTATTTTGAGGATATGATATATGTTTTACTCATAGTTTGGTCCTTTTCCCATGTTACTAACGTTATTTGCAGGAAGAAATCAAACGTCAAACCTCTCTAACTTGATTAGCATCACCGAAATGTACTCCTACGGGTTTAGAAACATTTGTGTAAAGGTAGTGATATATATTTAATGATATACTTATTCCATTTCACTAAAAATGTTATTTCTAAAGTGTCAATCGTATTCTTAGTTGGGGTTATTTTGAAAAACAAACACAAAAAAACAAGTTTTGGAAAATGTCTCAGGCCATATGGTACCTGACTACCGTGTCAACGGTACCTAGGTACCGGCGGCAGCCAAGTGACCGTACTGTGGTTTTTTTCACTTGGAGTGAACACGGTACCCGCTACCGTGATAACGGTATCCAGATACCGCCAGTAGGCTGCGGAACGAAAGATGCGACCGTTTGATGGTAGGTTCCGCTAGAGCCGCTGAGATTTTTTGTACTACACGGTACCCATCATCATCCGATATTCATCAATTATTATTGGAAAATGCTAGGGGTACACCAAAAGTGTACCTCAAACATCCCCCACCCCCTCAAAAATGGCAAAAAAGGCAAAATAAAATGGATACACCAAAAGTGTACCACACAAAAAAGGCAAGAAAAATTCAAAAAAAAGTAAAAAAAAAACAAAATAAAATGAATGATAAAAAGGAGAATGGTGTACATTTGGGGTACACCTTTGGCATTATTATTTGTGATAATAATGCTGGCAAAAGAAAAGCGTTCGTGGGGAATCGTGGCTTTGTTGGCACCTAACGCGGTGTCCGTCGGCCCCACACGCCGCAGCCGCCGCCACCCCCTTTCCCCACGCTTCCATCGCTGTCCGCCCCTGTCTCCGATTCCATAGCACTATTTCAAGGGTTTTACTTTCTTTTCTCTAGTTGTTCATCTGGCCTCGATGGCTCAGCAATCAGGCGCAGCTCCGGCGGGTGACGGGTCGGGTCAGCCGGCGGTAGGTCATGGGCCGGGCCCGTTTGGCGACACGACGTACACCAAAGTATTCGTGGGTGGGCTGGCGTGGGAGACGCAGAGCGAATCGCTGAGGCGCTACTTTGAGCAGTTCGGTGACATATTAGAAGGCGTCGTAATCGCTGATAAGCACACCGGACGCTCCAAAGGATATGGCTTCGTAAGTCTTCTTCTTCTATACTTCTTTTTGTTCACCTTTTGCTCTATTAAGTGCCAATTGCTGGGTATTACTTCATCTGTATGACTGATTATTTGTCCAATTTTGAGCTTTTTAATTTACTTCAAACGTGAATAATTTTATTATTATCTAGTAAAATGTTTTCAAAATATTATTTAATCTAAGTAGTATACCATGTAATTTTATTTAATTTTAAGTCAAAGTTTTCAGTTGACTGTAAAAACTCAAAACCACTCAAATATTTAGGGACAAAGGTGTTTGGTTATTAATTAGCTTTAGTTAAGACCAGATGAGAATTTTGATGAACTGGATACGAGTATGGAGGTGTGGAGTACACATTTGCCACCCAACTTCCAAAAGGTGCACGGAAACATTTAGTATTCGAAAACCAAATTTAGTTCTCCTTCCATCCCAAATTATTTGTCCTCTTTCAAACAACTTGCGAAATTCCATCTATTTTCTATTGATTTTATTTAAAAATTGGTATAAAATAAAAAATACTACTTACATGTTTAAAAACTACATCAAAACTGACATGTCTATTTTATTTTATCAAGTGATCAATGAAAATGTATATACAAACCAAAGTTATGGACAACCTCAAATAGTAAGGAAGACATCTTTTTGGGGACGGAGGGAGTATTCAAATACTTGAAGTAACTGCCAACCAACTCTTCATGGATGGGCACCTCAATGTTTGAATACTCCTATGAGAATTCAAATACTTAACGCCTTGCATTCGAATACTGCGACCTAGTATTCTAATACTCCCCGAATCATTGTGTTGCTTCACTCTGACAGTCATATTGTTTCGGATTTCCTGTATAAATATGGAGGTTTTGTGGTATGATTCACCCACATAACTTGACATACTCGTTCCAGTTAGCATATGTCTTATCCAATTGAAGAATTTTAAAATACCACCGAAATAACTTTAATGTGGAAGTAATATTTCACCTCCTCTTTAATGTCCTAAATGCTGCACAATAGTTCCCTTACCCTCCCGTATGGCCGTATTTCCTACTGCTTTTTGTAGCATATGGAAATAATAATTGTATGCTTACCTTAGTAAATTTTTGTGATAACTATGTTCAATTTTCGTTATTGAGAATTATTTTTAAAAACCCTAAGCGCATTTTAGCATTCGTTTATATCAATAATGGACGGGCTAATAATTCAAGGAGGTGTTGGTTATTTTACCATCATTAAACTCAAGGAGGGAGTTATTCATAAGATATTCATTAAGTATTTGTTTTGTAGGAGCGTCTGGCACATGTTTTTTGAGAAAAATCATTTTCCTGTGTTTGGTAGGCAATTGTATGGAAAGCTCATGTCAGGAAAGTCTTTCATTCTTTCAGGATTTGAGAAATCAGTTTGTTTATTCCTAGGAGAGATATCTTTGCACTATTATTATGTAATGTCAAGTTTTAGCATTTATAGATATTTGAGAATATGGTTTGCTCAAAAGGCCATCTTTTGGAGGTGTAACACACAATATAAAATGCTATGCAAAATTTATTTTTTTGTTATTCCATTGGAATTCATTTTCCTTGAAAATTATTTTTGTTTGTACCAATTACAGCCTTAATGAATTGTATCGTTTGTACCAAAATGTTTTTTGGAAACTCATGTATGGGATTTTGATAAAGCTTGAGTCCAATTGATTCAATTTAGAATGAAAAAGTGTACATCAAGTCCAAATTCGAGAAGGGATAGTCTCCAGATTCTCAGAGGAAAATACAATGAAAAGTAATTACACAAGAAAATAACATGTCTCAAGTAATAAATCCCACTCCGAGCGGAGTTGGGTAACTGCTATGTAACCACCCTCTCAGCCACTTAGTGGGTTGTTTGAAATGCCCATTAACATTTTGAGCTGCTCCACTTCTGGCGGCCCACCCTGTGCCATCTGCTTTTTCCTTGTAGGTGATGTTTTTTTGTATGATCATATTATGTAGGTTTTTGTTTTTTGTATCATCATGCACAACAATCTTCTTGCTTATTTTTGGATTTAGCAAGACAGAGTCTAGTGTCTACATTGTAATTGGTATTTACTGAATACAATCTTTGCGGAGGTTAGGTGACATTCCGTGATCCGGAAGCTGCTCGTAGGGCTTGTGCCAACCCAAATCCAGTCATTGATGGTAGAAGGGCAAATTGCAATCTAGCTTCACTTGGAAGCCCTCAAACCTTTCCTCATGGTATGTGATCTTTTTATTTATACCGCGTTTCTTGTTTGTTTGTTTGTTTGTTTGTTTGTTGAATGTACATTTTCTAGGTAATAGATAAACATTGTTTGCTATCCTTGCTTTGCTTATGAACAGGTGGTTCTCATAGATCAACAATGCCCTATATGGGGCCCCAAGCTTTGAGAGGTGTGTATGTGGGAAGCCCAATTTACCAGCTACCAGTTACGTACGGCTTTCAACCTGGAATGCCATATCCTCCTTACAGGTTAGTTTTTTACCCGCCCTATCAGAGGGTCTGAAAGTGCAATTTTGTCTAGGGCACACAAAGTGTTCCAGTTTAACATCTATGTAGATCTTCTGATTACATATTTATTCCCCATTGTGCCAAAGTGTGGCAGACATCTCGAGATCTTTGAATTGGTATTTTCATCTTCAGCACATCTAATTTAGAGCATTTCCATTTTAAATGAATTAAAACAAAAACTAAAAATCATGGTCCTACGACTCCTACCAATACATGATCCTATTAAAGTGTCTTTTTTGGATAATGTGGAATAGCAGTTCAGTTGTCGAGAGGCTACCGGTCTAAAACATCTTACCCAAATGTGAGCTCATTTGTCGATTGCCTAAACACAAATAGTAAAGAAGTCACTTTTTGCGAACATTATTTTGCTAATAAATATGTGAATGCTGCTAATGTACATCATAAGGGGAAATGGTAGTTGTATGTAAGCAATTGTTTTATGCTTTAGTTAATGTTTGACAGGTACCTTGCTTATGCCACTGAATATGCATACCGTCAGGCAAGTGTGTTTACATTCCGCAACTCAAGGTGTTAGGGGAATTTATTAAGAACTCGCGTTTCTACAGTATTGAAAAAGTTTTTAAAATAGTTCAGCATGCGCAAAATATCTTGAAATTGCTGAAATGCCTCAGCACGCAGTGGATATTTTATGGCTGTGTTTGGTTTGAGGGGATGGAAATTCTTCCCTCCCCTCATTCGTGGTTTTTAAAAACAACCGAGGAAAGTGGGGCCAACATTTTCCATCCCCTCCCCTCTAACCAAATAAGGTAACTTTAAAACCACAATAAAAAATTTTATTTCCCTCCCCTCTACATTCTTTTTTTTCCACCTCCGTTCCACTCCCCTTAAACCAAACACTCCCTGACATGAAGTTGGACTTTAAATACTCTTATCCCCATAGAAATAATCAAGTAGGTGAGTTTACTATTCCTTGACGGGCCCTTTAGTTTAAACAATAAATGGAGTTCTTTTTTTCTTTTTCTGATTGCATTGGTTTATACATGCTATTGAAATAAAGAATTTTTCTCCAGATGTATGGATTAGTAGGCACAAATTCAATGCCATATGGCCACCTGAGCCCCCAACCTGGCAGCCCTGGGTATACAATGATGCAAGGCTATTTCATGCCCGGTCCTCATATGGCTCAGTATCATCACAGACCTAATGTTGGTGGAGCAGTCACAGACAACATTCCCATAATGCAAAGACCATATCATTCAGGCAGTACTTCCTGCTTCATCTCTTATTTATCTCAATGATGTAGTGAAGCTAATGGCTTGTTCTCTTCACGTGAACTGATTGGTTCCAATTTGATTGGAATAAGTATTGGTCTGATCTGATTAGTTATATTTTAAACTGTTTCTGATCTGCTCCAATAAGAATAAGTAATAAGAATAAGCTGAAGAGATAGAAAACTGATTTCCATGTGGGCCGTTTGTAATCTGATTTCAAGGAATGACATAATGGCTGGCTTGTCCAGGTATTGCAATGCCTTCTATGGGTCAATCGCAGGTCGCAGTTCGCTCACATTCGCTGCAGTTCCCACACAGTAGCAGCTCTGATCAAACATCCTGATTAACATTGGAGAAAGATTATTTTGTATATGGGTCTTCCTCAACACGTGAGTTCCTTTTTGTTAGTTCCATTTGTTTGATGATTTTCCACTAATCCTTATTGCTTGTTAAATTATGGTTGCAGTAATCTCGAGCTGCAAAAATTATTGATGGTACTTCCCGGCTTTCGAATTTGACCTTTGGAGGTCAATTAAAATGCAAGCAAAGGTACTCCTTTTTCTTGCCCATGGAACTAAAAGAGCCATTTGACAATGTTTTAGCTCGGGGTAAATAATGGACTAAGGGCTTGTTCTCTTCACCTCATCTGATTGAAATAAAAACTGATCTGGTTTGAATTGATATGATTTTAGTTATATTTAAAGCTATTTCTGATCTGAATTTAATAAGAATAAGTAATACGAATAAGTTAGAAGAGAACAAGCTCTAAATTAAAGTGGCGCATTAAACCTTGCTTCTCACTTTCTGTATAAATTTTGAATTGTAAATGCAATAATCCATCAAGGGTAACAGAAACAACCTTTTTTCCCTTGTTTCCTAATGTTCTTCCAAATCCCAATGTCATAAATAACATGAATTCCTCATGCAGGTTTTCCTAAGTCAATGGCCACCAAATGATAAGTAATGAACACTGTAAAATACCGCCCCCCTTTGCTGGTACATGGCAGGACGCGCCCTTTGATACCTGTATAATTGACATACATTCATCTTCTGCCGGTGCTTCAAAAAGTCACCGGAAGTGTATTTCTGGATGCCGGAATCTGGTTTCCGGTAGCCGTGTGTGAGGGAATCAACCTATGATTCTTGAACCGTCTTGGTTTTGGACCGGTTCATTTGCATGTCTAGTGTCAGTTCATCATCCATATGTATTCAAACCATGTGCTCTCATGCTAGGGTCAGTGTCATTTTTTTCTTTTAACTGTATAAATTTGGTGCCTTAAATATTTGGATGTTCACATCAGGGAAATGCAGGGTAAATTTCACCAATGGTACCTGAACTTTAGCTGGAATTTCGAAGTGGTATCTGAACTTCAAATCCTTTCACAAAAATCCCTGAACTTACACAATCCTTTCACTAATGAGCCATTAGCCCGTTTCTAGTTTAACTTCCGGTCATTAGGGCCAAATTCGAATTTTATATATTTTAAAATTTTCAATTTGACCCCATTTCTTCTTTTCTTTTCTTCCAGGCCCCGCCGCCGTCGCCCGCCGGTCAAAGTCGCCGGAAAATGAACTTTTTCCGATTCCGGCGGGACCAATGTCATTCTCTTCGTCTTGAGACGAGGATCAATAATATCCAAACCATTTTGCCTAATTTTGCCTGTAACTTATCGAATCTGAATTTTTCTACTCGAAAAAACCCTAAAATCGAAATTGGGTCTAAAATGGGGGGTTTTGCAAATCGTCATCAAATCTTGCAATTGAGGAGTCCTTGGAGGTCGCCCGGATGCCACGACCGCATTGGAGTTGGTGCCCGCCGTCAATTTCGCCGGAGTTGGCCGGAAAACGGGCTAATGGCTCATTAGTGAAAGGATTGTGTAAGTTCAGGGATTTTTGTGAAAGGATTTGAAGTTCAGGTACCACTTCGAAATTCCAGCTAAAGTTCAGGTACCATTGGTGAAATTTGCCCGGGAAATGCACATAAACTTATTCATCTCAAAGTTCATTTATAGCCTTTTGATAGGCGAACCACTTCCACCAAAACTAAAATTGTCAAGCATGGATAAAGGATGACTTTGGATCACACAAATATTCTCGTAGTCCTTTAGTTCCAATTAACTTTTTTTTGTTGTTTGCAATGTTTGATTGAAATTATTTTGAATTTGATTTATTTGAAAACTGATGTTGAATTAAGTAATAAAAAGTATACAGAGTATTAAGATTGGATGTGCATTTTGAAATTTGCATACATTTAATTTTATTGAAAATTTGATGCGGGCACGAATCTTGATGCATGGTTAGAACTAGTATTTGCATTCGTATGCGTCGGAGATTAACCGGGTATCATATATATCCACATTTAATAATGATTTATTATAAAATAACATGAATTATAATCACTCTCATCATTTCTAAATAATCCTTCCGTTTTGTATTATGATCTTATGAATTTACATATTGTTTTGAAAATAAAAATAAAAAAATTACCATGGCCAGCATGGTGAAATTAAAAAAATCTTATAATCCAGCGATATCACTGTGATTATTCAAAATGGAAGGTCACATTAGCAGGGCCAACATCTGGCTTCTCGGTTGAGAATTGATACCTGGCCCCTTTTGTGGAGAAATACCAACCTCCTAGTCAACTTCACGCCATGACTGCACTCGGCCGGCCAATTCTTTATAGGCCTGGTCCGCAATCGGTTGAGACCTCCTCCTGAAGTCTTCTTTTAGGGCTTGCTTTCTTGGTCGTGGGCCTAATACCTCATTCATATTCATTTTTTATTCGACTAATTATTACTATTCAGATTCGATTTGATATTAAATTCAAATATTTGTTTTTGTATTCATATTCTTTTATGAAATACAATTTTTTATTTTTTACGTTTTATAGTTTCAAAAACTAGTAAAAAAATCACATTAAATAAGAGTAAAATATAGAGAAAGTACCAAAATATGAACTCCAAAGATAAAATATGGAGTTTGCACTGTGGTAATGTGACACTGCATATGAACAATTCACAATACTTTTTAGTAATGTACATGGTCATGAATAACACTGTAAATGCATTTTAACTCCTATTTCGAGAATAAAAATATATAACTCCTATTTTTGTTTATTTTTAATATTTACTTTTACTTTAATCTTTTTCCCAAAATTAATAGGCTACTAAAATGGCATGTCTATAACAACAACAACCTAGTTAGATCCAACGAGAGTAGGGACTGGAGAGGATGTGTGTAGGCAAATCTTGCCCCTACGGAGACTTTGTATTATGAGGCAAACATATGTTAGATATAAACTTTTATATTTAAATTCGAATATATTCATTAACATATTGAATCAAATACATATACATTCATATTCGTTTTCGTTTTCTTTCGAATTCTAATAAATATTTATATTCGTATTCTTATTCATTTTTCGAATACGAATAATTGAATTTGAATACAAATCACGAATCGAATCAAAATTATTCGTTCGTTTTACAACCCTAGGTGGAAGGATCTTCCAAACAAGTTCTTGGGAAATTTTGTGGCAAGTTACCCCCAAAAGCTTCCGTATTCCTATCTGTTGAATGTTAAGATACGAAAAGGGGAGTGTCTCTGAGACTTTATATCCCGTTGGGAGAAGGAGGCAAGAGACGACCAAAGAGTGGACGACCAAGACCTGATCGTCATGCTCCAAGCAGCACTCCCCAAGGGGATGTACGGAAGGAACTGAGGAGGAATCCACTTCCCACCTATCAAGAGATGCTAGTAAGGGCTAAGTATTTGGTTCTCGAAGATGACGACGAGGAACAGCAAGAACTCCAAGAAGAAGCAATGAAATATAAGAAGGCTCCATTGACTACGAGAAAACTGAAAAGTAAAAAAGAAAAAAGACTACATGAAGGGCTCAAAAGTCATAGGGTATCAGACAATAAGGGCTCTCGTCCATCTTGCGGACGCTCTAACTTGGACTCCTAGACAATCTTGTGGCTAAGTACATGGCTGACACGTAGCAAATTCTTGTTTGACCCAAAGTTAGGGCATCCAAAGTTTGACGCCCAGACTTGGATGACCCAACTCGGCGCCTATCAAAGCAGCACAGATCTCCCCATTCTATCCATCCAATTCAAGGCCTTGGAGCCTCTTCTCTCATTTCTTTCTCAGTTTAGATTATAGTTTAGTAATAATAGCTAGATAGTTTAGAATTGTTTTTGGAGATTTCAACTTCAGATCTGTTCTATTCCGCTTGTTCGGAGTCTGTAAGTCTTTAGTTTTTAAAATAATGTTGTTTTAATTATTTTGCATAGTATGAACTAGGGTCAGGAACATAGGTTCAGACTAGTTTGGGTACATACTTTGAATGTTTAGTTAATGTTTGAATGATTATCATGAAATTTTTCTAAATTTATGTAGTTAATTAACATTGATATAGGTAATTACGAATTAAGTAATGCTAAAAATACAATTGTTCCAATTATTAATTAAATGTGATATAGTCAATTAAGATGATGTCTTGACCTTAGGTTTAGATCTTGCTTATACTATGCAAAGTTATTTATACTTGCTTCCCCTTTCTAATGATTAGAGAAAATTTATCAATTGTACTTTCTCTATCTTAAAAAAAGAGTAAATTTCATAATTGGTCATTTATAACAGGGGGGTTTCCATATTTAGTCCTCTATTATCAAAAATTACCCTCGTAGTCTTTTTTTAAAGGGTACCTTTCCACAAATGGTCCTTTTTTTGATCTTCTGCCGTATTGGTGTTAATTTAAAGGCTAAAAGTATAATTTGACATCAGCATTATGTCTAGTAACGTGTTCTGATATTGGTTAAGCGGATAACACAAAAATAATGACTATGATTATGGGCTAGAATTCTGACGAAAGATCACATTTGTAGACTATAGTTGTCGTAAAAAGCGACTGTAATTCACAAACGATGGTAACGAAACAACCTTTGGAATTGTGTATGACAAAAAAGATATATTATCATTGTAAAATTACACTTTTAGCCCTCAAATTAACACCAACATGATAGAAGATCAAAAAAAGGACTATTTGTGGAAAGGTACCCATAAAAGAAGGACCACTAGAGTAATATTTGATAATAGAGGACTAAATAGGAAAACCCCATTGTTATAAAGGACGAATTATAGAATTTACTCTAAAAAAAGTTTTTCATTTGACTTGACACAAAATTTTAAAAAAGTGAAAATATGTAGTAATTAAAAATGATGTAGAAAAAAAGTTTTGAGACATTGAAAATTTTCCAAAGAAAAGAGGAGTTTTTTTAACATACGGAAGAGGAAATAAGTTGGAATTATGAAGAAACTAAATGACACTGATTGCCGAAAATTTGTTGTCCGAACGAACATCCTAGAAAAGCTGCGGCAATTCCGTGATTTTTATTGCCAGGGGAGGGTATTCTGGAAATCTCACTCTTACAGAGGAAGGCAACGAAACGCAGAGTGGATCCTTCCGATAACCCGATCGATCGGTCACCATCATCTTTACGGATTATCGTCTAAGCTTCCATCTTTCCACTCCTCAAAATCTTGTTCTTTTTTGTGTTTTATCTTCTTAAAGCCCTCGAAAACCCCATACATCAAGACCCTTTAGCATCAATGCTTCATACCTTCGGGATTTCCTTCCGCCCACGATAAAGGCATCTCCTTGCTGCAATCCTTTAACAAATCTGATTTAATCTCCGAAACAGAAGCTGGGTTTTGTGTTTTGCTCTTCTGAATCACCTTTTCCGCGGAGAATTGCTTTGTTTTTGTCCAGCGTCTCTAGTTAAATACCTGGCGATGGATGTTCTAGAACCTCGACGGAAGAGAGTTCAGTTGCGTGTTCTCATTTTCAAGAATTTTCTACGTTTGGGGCTTTTTTGAAAGGTCGGAGCGTGACACTGTTCTTTTGTATTGGGGTTGAATTTGAATGATTGGTTTCGAAATTTCTTGATTTTGTGTAGCTTGTGGGTGTTTTAGCTGATTCCTGGAAATGGGCTCAAGGGCGATAGGGGTTGAGGAGGTCGTGGAAGAGATCATGAAGCTTCATCGATCTCTCCCACCTCGACCGGGGATCGAAGAGGTTGAGGCAGCGAGGACATTGATTGTGAATTTGGAGAGGGAGGATCAGATGAGGATTGAGGCGATTGTGAGGCAGAGGAGAAGTAGTGATGTCCCTGAAGAGCTGTTTATGTTGTTGCAGGAGATGCAGAGGTGTATGGTTCACTTTCAGAGCAAAGAGCAGAAGAGTGAGGCGTTGAAATTGTTGGACCTGGAGAATACCCACAATCTGTTTGATGATTTGGTTCAGAGGGCTTCCAAATGTTTACCTTCTGGTTCTTCTCAGGCTTATTCTTCATCAAGGTCTTCTTTGGATTCCAACAGAGTGTCTTTAACAAACTCATCATCCGTCTCCAGCAGCAGTGTCAGCACGTTAGCTACAAGTGCCACGGCTACCTTGAAAACTTCAACTTTTTACAATGAGAGAGGGCCTGTGAAAGCTTCTCAGTTGTTTAGTAAAGACGACACTTATTTGACCAAGGCAAAAGCTTCCATCCGTGCAGATGGATATGGGGTTGGTCTTTTATATGTAGACACCCCCTCAGAACCCAAGATTGTTGATTCTTCTTTGAGGCCTTCTATTAGTCCAAGTAAGTCTGAATTGCCCTGCATCAAGTTCTCTATTTGATATGTGAATGAGTTCCTTATATGGTTATCTAGTGAAGATTAATGGCTAAAATTTGATGAAAGTATAATATAAGCTGAGATTTTTGTTTTGACATGGGTATCCTTTGCTACGCATTCTCTATGAATTATGATTGATTGTTTCTCTCTAATCGTAACAGGCCAGGATGGTGAAAAACTAAGCTTGATAAAGCTTGCGAGTTTGATTGAATTGTCAGCAAAGAAGGGAGCCTCGGATCTCAATCTTCATAGCAAATTGTCCGACCAAGTCGAATGGCTTCCTGATTCTATCGGGAAGCTGTCAAGTTTGATCACATTGGATTTGTCTGAAAATCGGTTAACTTCTATACCAACTGCTATAGGGAGCCTTGGTTCTTTACAAAGGCTAAATTTGCGCGGAAATAGAATTGTGGAACTGCCGGATTCTCTTGGAAATCTCCAGGAATTGGTCTCTCTTGACCTTGCAGGAAATAGTTTGAAATCACTGCCTGTTTCCATTGGTAGTTTAGTCCACCTTCAGGAACTTGATTTGAGTTCCAACATGATCTCTGCACTCCCAGAGGCCATTGGATCTTTATCTTGTCTCCAAAGATTGATCGTGGAAACAAATGATCTCGAGGAACTTCCTCACACCATTGGTCAATGCTCTTCACTTGTTGAGCTACGTGCAGACTATAACCGGCTTAAAGCCCTACCTGAAGCCGTGGGACGCATTCGAACACTGGAGGTCCTATCCTTGCGCTACAATAATGTGAGACAGCTTCCTACCACTATGTCATCAATGGAGAGTTTGAAAGAGCTAAATGTCAGTTTCAACGAGCTTGAGTATGTGCCTGAGACCTTGTGCTTTGTTATCACACTGCTAAAGATGAACATTAGCAACAATTTTGCAGACCTCCGATCTCTTCCGAGATCCATTGGTAATCTTGAGATGCTTGAGGAATTGGATATCAGTAACAATCAGATCAGAGCTCTCCCAGACTCATTTAGAATGTTGTCCAAGTTGACTGTTCTAAAAGCTGAAGGAAACCCTCTGGAAGTCCCACCTGTAGACGTTGTTGGGAAGGGAGCACAGGTAGCTTCTGTTACAAATCGTATCGTTTCACAGTTTCTGTATGGTGACATCATCCCACACCTTACTCGTAGTTCTTTCACTTGTTTTTGCTTATTACTTTGTAATTCTTATGTTGATCAACCATAAACATTACTGTAACACCAGATGAGAAAGAACGATTGATATTATACCCAATCTTAAAACTTTGTATCTTATAGTTTAGGTGAGAAAATTAAAATTCAAATACCATTACCAGACTAAAATCACTATATCTTAAAATGTAAAAAAAATCAGATCACATTTTTTAGGTGAAGAGAACCGTCGAAGCACAGTTCAGCCTCACTATGATTGACCCTAACATTTGATGTTGCATTGTTTTGTTTCAGGCTGTTGTCCAATACATGGCTGATCTCTATGCAAAGAGAGATATAAAGATTGAACCAGTGAAGCAGAAGAACAAATCTTGGGCCAAGAGGTTCTTCTTCCGCTCACCAGCCAACCAACACAGGCGAGTTGAATATGTGAAAACATAGCTGTCGGAGTAACACGAGAGTTTGTTGGTATGTCAATTACCACAAGTTACAGTTTTAACATGTTCATTCTGTGCAATCCTTCACGTGCTTATGCTTCCCAAGTTACAGTTTGATTCTTGTAATTCTTCTGTCTTTGCTTTTTTTTTATGTTTCCTTGTATTCTTAGTTTTATTTGATTGATTGAGATTCAGAAGTGCAATTGACCTGATTTTGCGGCCGTGCATAAGGGTATCTTGATAGGAACTTCCTCCCACTGTGAATGTATCTTATGTTTCGCATCATCATAGTTACGAGGAAACTTTACCTTCTTTTTGTTTGTCACCATTGCTGCTTTAGCTTATTTACGGTAACACTCTTCCCGAAGAAGAACTGGAGAAAGGTGATTACATGTGACTTGTTGCTTGTGCAACTTCGTTGACATGACCTTTGTTTGAGAAGTTATAATTGTGGTCCTAAGGTCCACATGAGAAAGTAGACCTCAAACTTTTCATGTGCTCACAAAGGGATCTTTTCTTTCTATAAAACGTCCAACTCTTAGATGTTTGAAATGTATTAAGGTCAATAAAATGAGTATTGATCTAAGGATTAAATGAGAATTTGCCTGGTTTTTGAGAGGTTTCAGAGGAGTGGTTCTCAGAGTTTTTACTTGGGTTTTAGGAGGGAATTATGTGTAGCAGGTTGTTTTTTGGGGGGATTTCCATCATTTTGTGATGACATTTCCTCTTCCTTCTTGTATTTCTTGTATGTTTTCCCTTCACTTTCTTCTACTCTCTCATGTCTACCTTCTGGAGACCTTTCGCTTGTCTCGAAAAAGTGTGAATATACATTAGCCTGTTTCTTTTGCAACAATTTACATTTTTTGAAATATGCGAATGCAAAGGGAAAAACACTCGGTAGTGTAGTTTACGGATTGGATTATGGATGCTAGGCTGACTTGTTGTGCGTCATTAGATTGAAAAAGTATGAATATACATTAGGGTGGTTGTAAGGCTAATAGGTGTGGATCACGTCATCACGCCTATCATGTCCTCTCACTTAGCGTCACGCTAGCTTTTCTCTTTCCTATCACAGCTCATCATTGAACAAGGGTGTGTGGATCACACCCATCACACCTAATTATTTTAAAATCATTTAAATCAAAACACTAAATAAATATTTAAAATTATTTAAAATTAGAACACTAAATAAATATTTCATTTAAATAAACAATTATGTTCACATACTACAAAAAAAGGAATAATTAGGTGCGTGGCAAAAAAATTCAAATACTTGATTAAATGTTGTCGCTCATGTTGTTCGTTACACTTTCAAACCATTTTCATCTAATTTTGTTTGTCATTTTCAGAATAGCTGCGCGTTTTAGAGGTGGTAAATGATCAACATTAATCATCAAAATCTTGCTCTTTTAGCTCATTACGTTTGTGCTCTAGCCGACGTGCCGCGTCGACAACTTTACTTTTCAGTCGAATTTTGTCCTACTGCACTTCGTTGAAGGCGGCCATGGTGTAGACGAGATTGTTGACAGTTCACCCTTGGGGCCGGGTTCCAGTGACAATAATGGCGTCCATGCCGTAGTAGGGTTACGCGTTCAAAATGGTATAGAATTGAGTGGTGACCCTACCCCAAAAATTATCCGCATTTTGGGTCATCACTAATCGTGAAATAAAAATTTGTAAGTAAAATTATTTGGTGAAAAAAACTTGTTACGAAAAAAGATAAAAATTTCTAAGTAAAATTACTTGGGGAAAAATAACCTTTAAATGGGTCTTCAAAAACATTCACCCATGCTCAGGCCAACGCCTCCTCCTCCGTCGGCGTCCACACTCCCTTCGTCACCCAATTCGTCGACCTTTCATGGTGCACGTAATTCTCTTTCAATTTTCGAGAGGCTTGCATTTTGAGAACGCTCTCAATGTTCTCGACATTGTTCTTTAAGACGGGTGTCGGGCCGGCCATTTCCAGAACTTGTTGTGAATTTTTTAAAATTGTCGTTGCCACTCGAGAAATTGCAAATAGAGAGATGAGAAGAGTTTATATATGAAAAAAGTAGAAAGTGTCAATTTAAAGGGACGAGGAGTATTTAAATAATAGATTGAAAAAATATATAAATTTTAATTTAAGCTACTTGTTGCAATGACTAGATGGGCACCACTACGGCCATCATGCATGAGGTGGTGACATGTGGCCATCACGGGTCACCACTACGCAACCCAGACCGATTGGTCTAATGGTAAATCTAAAATAGCAATTTTAAAAAAAGCTAATATAAATTATTATATGGAATTAAATTAATCAAAAAATGTTTTTCTTTAAATAAATTAAATAAAAAATATATAATGAATGAGAATAAGACTAAATGAAAGAAATGAGAATGCATGTGGAATGTTGCACACTAAAAGAAATTTATTTTATAAACTTATTTAAGTTTTTAATTAAAAATGATGAATAATGTAAAATAAACAGAGAGGCGAGACGAGAGGGTGTAACATTGCAAGTACGGCTGTTCATCGGTCCAAGACCGAACTTGACTGAAGACCAAATTGAACACAATCATGAATCGAAGACCGGACCTAAATCTATTCGGATTTTGACCTGGACAGAAATAATAAGGACTGAATCGGTTCAGACCAATTGGACCAGATTTTTTTTATTATTTTCATCTGTTAATTGTGTTTTAGGGTTTTTAATTTGTACCGTGCAAATAGAAAAAATAAAAAAAATAGACAAGCTTAAAACATATGCCATTGACTGCTTCTATGTATAATCCTAAAATAATCCTATAATCCTAATGTGAAATAATTTTTTCTGAATTGTTAAAATAATTTGTTAATAAAAAATCTAATTTGTTAACAGAGCCAACGGACACCTTCTTTGTAAGTGCCCTTACAATCACAAGTGGGAACCACTCTACTCTGTAAACCTAACTTTTCAATTTTAAACCTAGCTTTGCAACTTTTTATCACCTCATCTATTCTGGATGGATAAAGTGAGGATTTTGAGTTTAAACTTCTACTATTAAAATCATTCTCATAACTCTGCAGCAGATTAATAAAGTCGATAGTACTATAAAAATGGCACTCATGCACCGCACAATTTGATTTTGTTAATGCCTAAGACAAAGTTCTTTATTACGAATTATGAAGAAATCTCAGTTAATTACAGTATACAAAAAGTTCATCTACATCTTCCTAGCTAGCACCTTTGCCACTATTTGACACTTCTCTCGTAAAGCATGCAGCCAATGAGTAAAAAACACAACTAAAACAATCCAGTGAAAGAAAAAGTTGTACCAGTATATATTATGTATGCAATTGGGCGCACTTAGTGAAAATATAGCTTCTTCTAAGGGGTTGTTGGCTTTGGGAATGAAAAGCTGCCTCCACCACTACTCTTTGTGCCTTCTCCTTTCACTTCCACTTGTTCTTCTTCCTTGGGACCATCACCAACTTGCATCATTACTGCATCATTGGACGGCGCTGACGAATCGTTTTCAGGGTCAAAAGCGTCCTCATCGTCGAACGGATAGGATCGGGTTGGGATGCCCAGAGATCTGTACCGATGGAGTGCAGGGGTAGAACGGACCGCGGACGAGGACGGTGGGGTCCCACCACCCAAGGTTCTGGTTGGAGACTTCCCCCCTCCACTTGGGTTCTTCTTCTTTATGGCCATATGATGCCACTTCTTCAGCGCCTTTGACGTCTGTTCATCAAAGATTGATTTCTTCATGCGCGAACCCATCTGAGCCACGAGCCCATAAAGTGGCAGCGTAATGTAGCTGCACAAGAACAGAACTCCCACCCTGAAAAATACAGATTCCCCTCTCTCTGTCAAGAATGAGTTCATCTCTTTTCAAGAAAACTGCAGTGGATATATACAAGGCATGAATACATACATACCCTATTGCCATTTTCACAATGACCAGCTGAAAACTTTCATGGAAGCAATTTTTCTTTCCATACTCATACTATTCCAAACAAAAAATCTTAATCAGAATCGGGTATCGCATGAAATTGAAGAAAAATATTTGATACCATGGCCGAGAAATATTACCCATATCCACAAGAAGTATGTTATTTGGAAAGCATTCTGCCATGTGAAAAGAGGATGAAGCATATGTTAATTAAATGGAAAATACGCTTGCATAAAGAATAGAAGTTTTCCAAAGTGCTCATCTTTCGAACCAAACCTGAAATAAGGCGAAATGAATGAGGTGTAGAACTAATTGAGGCCGACCGAACCAAAAGTATTTGTCGGATCCTTGCACAAGAGGGATTCCTTGAACTACTGCATGTCTTTCGGTGATCTCAAGGGCCATTTTGGTCAAAATAGCTTGAAGTTTTGTCCCGACCGCTAAAATTATCTGGGCAATCAACATTTATCATGTATTGATAAAAAGTGCACGAAATGTAGTCGTAGCATTGTGAACCAAGTTAGATTTCTTACAATTAAAGGAATAACAGATGCCCAAAACAATGCCCTCCAACCTGAAAGGAATAAAATGTTTATGGCACGCATAACCGGACAAAAAACATGGACAAGACAGATGCATTTTATTCCAAGGATTGTCTTACCATTCACATTTAGGAGCAGGAAAATCACAAAGGATGCCCAAAGCACAGGACTGCAATTCAAGGACAAACATATGAGTTGAGTAAAGACCAGATCAAAGAAACTTCGAAGCTACAAAATAATCCGTAGAAACATTAAAACAACAAATTGTTGAACCTATGATTGATTACCTGACTCCCACAACTACCTTGAAGTCATCCTCTAATGACCTCTTAATGTACTTTTGGAAGTTAAATTTACTTCCCGGGGCTAAATGAGCCTACATAAGCAACACAACCAAACCATAAATCACAACTTAGAAAGGGATTGTTGTGAAAAAGGGAAAGTAGAAGTCAAGAGAAAGAGGAAAATAGAGAAGTCGTGTGAGACTCACACTGATGAAGCCGTTGCGCAGGGTCAAATAGTCAGACTTGCTTACGGATCTAAAGAATTGTCTGAAAAAACATCCCTGCAAGAGATAATCAAGTTTGATTTCATTAAAAACACTATTCTGTAGGACAAAGTGTACCTTTAAAATGGTAAAAACTCTTTTGACACGAAGTTTAAACCTGGGCCTCATAAGCCATCAGAATTCAGAACTGGTAATAGAGATTGAACTGTGCCAATTTAACTAAAAACCATGACTGACTACACACAACTTCCCAATATAGAAAAGTGCCTCACAATGTAAAAGAATATTGGAATTCTGGTCCAGAAACTCGTGTGAGCTCTCACAAAAGATGTCTCATGAGTAAGTCTGAATCTTGAAGGATCTGCAAATTTCAATTCCCATTATGAAATGTATTTAGTAGTAGCAAGAAACCATGCAAACAGAATGCTGAGGGATAGGTCATAAAGCGGCAATAAACCATTTGAGAATTCGTAATTGTGAGACGAAGTTTCTTGTTCCCACTGCTTCCATCCCCGGATCTGAAAATTTCAAGAAAAAAAAATGGTACTCGTCTACAGCAAGAATGACTGAATGAGCAAAAACATACTCCGTATATGATAAAAATCGAGCAAATCAAATAAAAGAAAGATTATACCTTTAGTCTCCCCAGCAACATAGTAACGGCACTATAAACCACGTGCAGGATTGCCAAAAAGAAAACAAGGATGTGTATTTGGTGCAGCCCTTCAACAGATATGAGGGCTACATATCCCTGTTAGAAATACCCAGATCAGGTAAACAATGAGATGGAATCACATAATTTCATTATGTTTATGATCCAAAACAGGAGCCATAAAAGGTCTTGGGCTAGAAAAAAAGTTAAGGGTGGCAAATATACACACACCTCCTTGCATTTTCGTGCTTCGCTGGCTGACAAACCCCGGCGCTCATACCATAATAGCCTCCGACGGTGTTCCTCCTCTTTAGCCTCATTGTCAGTGGCTTTACATGGCAGCATAGTGTCAGCAACATGTGTTGGAATACATATTCCGGGAATGTAGTTCTGACAAAATACAAGGATCAGCGAGATGAATCCGAGAATCATCAATTCTGAAAGAAAAAAAACATAGGGGGTGTCAATTCAAGAAACCAAGGCTACGGACGGGTAGGTAGGAGCGTGAAATATGTTAAAGAATCGTGCTTACCGGCTTTCACTTTCTCGAAAGCCTCAAACAAAGCTTTCTTGTGTCTGTCCGCCAGCCACTGAACAAAAGTAATATGTGTCAAGAGGATCATTAGAATGACAAATAAAGGCAAAGGGCTGATATAGTTCTCTAATATGTGTATTAGGTTGATCATAAGGAAGAGAAATTAGATATATAAAAAAAACTGTGGGATGCCAAGTGAAAACTCTCCACTTCCCATGAGGCTGCACATCCAACAACTAGTAACACCACAAATCAAACAGAAGAAACAAGCAGGAAATTTTGCAAATCGAAATTACAGCAGCATAATATTTTGAAATGTTCATCTAAATTTGCATATTTTGAATTTATTGATATGGGGTAACCAACTTTCTCTAGAATCTCAAAGATATTGAAAAAATATCAACAAACAAAAAATGCAAATATCCCTATCACTATTTTTTTAAAGAACTTTTTTTATTTAAAAAATGTAGTTTGGTTTCTCCAAAAATTCCTCTAATTAAAAAAAAACAAATGAATCCGTCCCACCACCACCCCATAATTTCCAGAAAGGGGAGGAGCCAATTAAATCAGTCATCAGTTTCAAAGTTGATTTCTTGAGAGAGAGAGAGAGAGAGAGAGGGAAAGCAGTAAGCATATTTGACATTTTGACAACAAATTTGGAATGCAAATCAAATCAAGAAACTACAAACAAGAAAAACCAATTAAACACCAAAAAAACAGCACAGAGTCCCCAACAAGAAATTAAATCAGAAAAAGTACCGTTCCAAGCTTGTGGATAATCTTCTCCAAGGCAATAGAGATGACAATAATAGCCGTACAGACAACCGCCACAGCCCAAGTTGGGGTCTGGTCAATCTTCCTTGAGCTCTCTCCTCCACCTGACATTTCCCTCTCACCACCCCAAAAAAAATCAAAAATCAAAAAAAGAAACAATCTTTCTGTCTTTTTTAGAAATTAGAAGCCACCCAGAACAAGTTCAACAGGATTCTTGAAAGCGAAACAAAAAAAATACAATCTTGAAGCAAGAAAGCAAGAACAATATATCAGAGGATCTTCAATTTGGCCTCTTTGCAAATGCATGAACTGAGTTTTGATGTTTTAAAAAAACGGCAGTACTGAGTCAACTCGCGGGGATGATTAAAACCGTCGTTAGGAATGGGTGCTGGCTGAGCTGACACTTGAAAGAACCCATCAAAGAGAAACAAACGGCGGGTGGGTTCTGGACAAAACAGAGAAGAAGAGAATATATGGTCCGCATGTAATACGGAGTAGTAATACAGTAGGGTGTCTCTCGTCCGGAGCTCCCGGCAAAAGCTTTAAAAAAATGTAGTACCCCGTGAAACTTTTGCACCTTGTGGGTTCGGCCTTCGGCGGTTTATGAGGTAAAATAAGTGGGAAAAAAAGGAAAATTTGTGTAAATGACACCTACTCTCCATATTCAGTCCGGGTCCACATGACTAATCCTTTTTTGAAAATGTATAAGATTCTGTTTGTTATACTAAATTCAAATTATCATATGTTAGAGTCACAAACAAACAGTTTACAAAATTCACAAACTTGCTTTTTTAACACTTTTCTAGAAATAAGATGCATTCAAATAATAAAAGATATTTTAATTCAAAATTCACAAAAGGTAAGTTTGTGAAGTTTGTGAACTAAATGTTTGTGACTCTAGCATTTTCCATTAGAATTTGAAACAAAAATTTCAATTCTATTTTTTGATAGCAAAAACTTATATTGATTTAGAATTGGTAGTGTCAAATATTAACTGAAATTACCTAATTTCAATCAAATCAGTTCCATAGAATTTTAATTCTCAATTCAATTCTGATTTTATTAATTTTGGGTATCAAATAGACTCTAACTAAATCTGATATTGATAAAATTTCTTTACTTGAAAGTTGAAAATGAAATATGAAATTGCACTAAATACGACTAAAACATAAGTCAAATTCTGAACTTAAACTTTTTTATTCCCTAGATAGTACTTAATAATATCTAGTGGTAGGAATAATGTCCAATGATAGTGGACATTTACTTGAATAGTGACTAATGAATAATAACCAATTGTCCTACATTGAAAAATAAAAATACAAGGTCCTATATTGAGAAAATTGTTACTAAGTGAAATACCAATTAAATTATTAAATTTAATCGACTAGTAAAACTCAAGAGTTTATAAATTTATTTTTTTTTCTTTAATTTTGATGTGAGATAATCTAATTGTTTCTCTCTTTCTAATGGATGATCGAGTCATTTTAAATCTAACTGGTTGATCGCTTACGAGTGAACTCCCTTTTATTATTTGAAATTAATACGAGTATTTGAGAATACAAAAAAAAAAAATTGGGTTAAATGCGTCACATGTTATTTTCCATACGAATAACTAGGCTAACGACTTGCAAGCCACAAAGAATGAATGTTTAGACGAATTTCTGAGCAAACTAGGTAAGTCAAAACTTGCTCTGACACCATGATAAAATATAGGATATGGTAATAGTTACTAGACTATGCATAAAATACTTGAATTGAACCATATTACAAAGTTAAATCAAATCCATTATTAGTTGAACTCAACCCACTAAAATGTCATATTTTGAATATTAACAATGAAAATTGATTTTTTGGAGAAAAATATTGTAAAATTTGCATAGAATATGACTAAAACATAAGTCATTTATCAAAGTAGGACTTAAACATTTTTATTCTCTAAATAGGACTTAATATGATTAATGAGAACAATAATGTCCAAGTGTTGCTGGACATTTAATTAAATAATGACTAATAGATAATAACCAATAGTCCTACATTGGAAAATAAAAAAATATGGTCCTATATTGAGAAAGTAATTATGTTTTAGTTCTAGGTAAATTACCCAAAAATATTCCACCAAACAAACAATGAAAAATATAAGGGAAAGTAATTTTCTTTGAAAATCATTTTCTTGAAAAATAATTTTCTTGAAATATATTTTCCACTAACATAACGAATCCTAAATTTACATACTAGTATTTCTTACCTTTCTTTTTTTACTATTTTACTTTTTATTTTCTTTCTAATTAAACTCCAAAATTAAGTTTTAATCTTTTTTGGGGACTAAGTTACCAGCGTAATAAATAGGGCGGTTTGAACTTTACAAAAATAGAAGACATTTTAGTGTTTTACTCCTTTACTCTGTCCGTGAAAATTGAAAAGGGGTGGTCGAAATTCAATGCCATCTATTAATAGCGCATCCCATATTTGACATTGGATTACTTCTTTGGTGCACTTTATATACATATAAAATTTATAGGTTTTTTGACATAATTTTTTTTAATAAATAATTCTTTAAGTAATAAAGAAATACTCTGTAATTATTTTATTCATATGTAGGTCATGGTAGACCTAAGATTCACCATAGAATTTGCCTTGATATTTACCTTTCTTGTGTTTGTTGTATTGGATGAAAATTATAACTCTTGTCCTCTTAAAATTTTTTTCCCAGTTCAGTTTATGAAGTTTGACAATTATTTTTAATTCAATTTATTTAATTATGAATATAAAATTTAATAATAAAATTATATATTTAAAAATTATATTAAAAGTTCTACAAAATAATACATGACATGCATGTATTATTTTATCAAATAACTAACAAAAATAGGTAAAGAATGTAATTAAAATTTGTTTATGTGAATAGTATCTGGGAAGAAAGTTTTAGGATGGAGAGAATATTATTTAAATTTATTTCAAACTTATCATAGAAAAAATTATATATGTGAAATTATATTAAAAGATTTGTTTTTTTCGTCTCAAATAAATCTCATATATTGATTTTTTTTTGTTAAATTGTGAAATTCCTTAACTCTTCATTGTTAGAATTTTTTTTATAGTTATAACCTCCTTTCATTTAGTTCTTTCTTATTTGACTTTTCACAATTTCCAGTACAATATTTTAATCATTAATATCTCTATTTATATATAAATATATATTATAAAATATAATATTTCAAAATAATATTATAAAATGAATTCATGGATATTAATTAGTATGATAATTCAATGTATTTTTCTATGATTTGTAATCAAAATTTAACCAAGAAAGTCAACTTAAAAAAATATTTTATGAATTGAGGGAGTAAAATTAATAGGAATTCAATATAGTTGAGTTTATTTCAAATTATAGTTTGAGGATATCAAATTTTTATAACATTTATGTATTTAAGAATATATTTCCTCTGTTTGTCAAAATAATTCATCTTTCGTTCTTTCATTTTTACCAAAATACTATCATATAAGTAAAAAGACTAATACATTTAAATACTCCGTAAAATCATTGTTATATATTTCATTCCATTTGTATTGATATAATAAGCTTGTAAAATGATGTGTTTCTCTTTTTTACTTCGATGTTTAACATATAGTTGAAAAATCAAATTATGAAAATAAATCTAGTAAAAATCAAATAGGAACTGTTTTTTCAAACATAGAGAATATTTAATTTTTATTATATGGTCAAAGGGTATAATAATTTGATTAAAAATCAAAGTTAGACATTTATTTTTGAACATAAGGACTATAAAGCAGTGGTTGAGATGGTAGCATTATTTTTTAAATAATCAATAAAAATAATGAGAAAATATATAATTTGACAACATAAATTACAAGGGGAAAAGTTTTTTTTTGAAATAGAGACAGTAGTATAAACAATTAATTGAAAAGTCATTTATTAAAGCTTTTTTAGTCTCACAAAATGTCAAAAATGCTGCGCAATTTCGTTTGACAACTAGATTTTCTAAACACATTGTTGGAAACTAGATTTTCTAAACGCGCGTTTTCCAATTTTATTTTTTGTATTTTTTTCCCGAGGACGGACAATCCTTCCTTTCCCACCCATCACATATTCACATGTACTCCACCTAACCTTTTTTTACGGAGTATTTTAATCCATAAAACCTCTTCAAAAATGATTTGCACGATTGCGGACATGACCACATGAGAGATATGTAAAGTCAAAATTGTTGCTTCTCCCGATTTTTTTTAAATTACTCCCTTCCGTCCACTCTTTTTGTCCACTTTCATTTTTACACATCATCCAATACACTTCTTTAATCTATTTTATCTTGTAATATGTATATTAAAAAATTATAGAAATTATATATTAATAATCTATATGTTAAGACAAATCAAATATGATCACACATGACTATATTTAGGCTTACAGATTGAGAATTTGATGAGTCAAAGTGCTTATATGAACAGTTCCAAAAGTCAAAACTGGACAAAAAGAGTGAGACGGAGGTAGTAAACTATTAGAGCATTGGAAATGGTTATGAAGCTTCGGGGCTTCAAACTGGAGCTTCAGACTTTCTCTCTCTTCCACATCAGCTTTAACTTACACCAAATTTCACTGGAAATGGGTTTGAAGCCCCGTGGCTTCAAATTGGGGCTTCAAACCTTCATTTTTCACATTTTTAAATATACATCTTCTAAATTTAAATTAATATATATGTCGGGTCCGTCGTCGGGTGGATTCAGCTTCTTCTTCTTTGCCTTCTTCCCACCATTGAATACAACTCCTGGCGAAACAACAAAAAAAGAGAGCTCATTTTTCATCTTCGGATGAAGATGATCCCATTTTTAAAATATATTTTATAAATATTTATAATAAATAATAAATATTTTAAAGAGAAGATAATGAGAAATGTGTGAGAAAAATGTGTGAATGTTAAAAAGTATCCCACATCGGAACTTGAAAAGAAAATAAACCGATATATAAGCCCTTGAGTTGAACTAACTAATCGATTAAATCCACTTTTTTAATGTGGTTCAACTCAAGTGTCTTATTATCCAAACCAGTTGTCCATACCCACCCTAAATTCTATCAATGAGAACGGGGGAATTTATAGGGTTTTTTTTTTANGGCTAAAAGGGAGAGAATTACCGTGTCAAACGAATGACGCAGCACCTATAACGCCCCGGTAATGCCGCAGGGGCAGTGTTTAACGCCGAATGGGCGTGAAACGCCCCCTCACGCGGGTTGGCGTTAGAGGCATTTCCAGTGCCCTTACTACACCAAAATTTGTTTTCTGTTTTAGTATTTTGTATTTTAAAGGCATGTATCGACATTTTGTACTAATTAAATTATTACTACACCAAACTATTACTACACCTAAACTAATATTTTCTGTCCGTGTAAATCATTATAATGTCAGTGCAAAGTGTACCCTTAGCATGGTTATTTTTTGATGATATAGTTGGTACCGGATTCATTACTCGTGATGACCAAGAAGAAGGTATATGGTACAACCGGCTATACCTAGAAATAGGTATATCCGGGCAGTACTCATTCTAAAGTAAAATAGTACTCATTTTCGTACAAACATAACGGTTCATTTGAAATAACGTGGTACTCATTCTGAAACAACGTAGTATTAATTCTGAAATAATATAGTACTCATTCTAAAATAACGTAGTACTCATTTTCACACATTTGTTCAATATTCATTTACAAATAAAGAAATACTCATTCTAAAATCCAGTAGAACTCATTCTCAAATAGCCTAGTGCTCATTCTTAAACAACATACCATGAGTTAAAATTTGAATTTTTTTCTTCTATGCTGCAGACTAGATCAAATTTGAACAGATTCATAGCTAATAGGAATTAGAGCTTTGCTGACCCATCAGATCTGAATTACAGTTGTCGCCTATCGCAGATTGGAAACCCAAGCAGCCTTCATCGCCTAGAGCTTTTATTCATTTTTTTCATTTTTTCCTACCTAGCCATTTATTGCATTTTTTTCTTTTTATGGCGTCGGTTTTTTTGTTTCTTTTTTAAACTAGTTATACACGAGATTTATGCGACACAAAACATGGTTTGCTCTTCCAACTTAGGTTCTCTACCTGCACAATATCATTTCCTTTTGGGATTTGTTGCTTAAGAAGACAAGGATGTCGGGCCATCTATTCCAACCTAAGATGGTGTTCCAATATATATGTTTAATTCCTTCCAGCATCTTGATAATATATATAACCAAAATTGAGAAAAAGAAAAAGAATTTCTTAAGACTAACTTTACTTGAATGGGTCTTATATATTGTAAAAAGTACATTATTTACAAGACACTATAGCAAAATTATCCCTTCAATGGGTAATGCAAAATTAACACTATATTGTAAAAAGTAAGTCCCACCTTGTATTAGTACACTACATGCTATTCCCATCTTGTGAATTTATTTTTTCTATATATTCATTAAAATACATTTATATATCATGTTTCTTATAAAAATATTCAATATATGTATAGTTTGAAATACATGTACCATAAAAATTTTAAAAATATAAATATTATCACAAATAAATAGTTTAAAAGTAGTAAAATATAAAAAAGGTGAATTATTTAAGAGATATGGTTGGAGTAGCTATGAAAAAATGGATTCCTAAAACACATTTGGTAGTGTAAAATACAATATGCACTATCAAAATTTACAACACCCATTAAAGATGCTCTTAGGACAAAAAGTGTTAGTTTGAAAAGTGCTTCATATATTCTTAAATAAATTGTCCACATTGAACTTAACTAATTAAAAGGCATGAAATTAAACGAAAATAGGTTCTAAATAGATTTGGCTTAAAAGAAATGGTTTAAAGTCTATAATAGAAAACTCATTTTTAAGGAAATTTATACATATTTGTTGCAAATTTAATTTCAATTTAATGCAAAAAAATGCAAACACTTAATAGTGCTAAAAGATTAAAAGAACTATAATGATTTCTAATTTTTCTTGAAATTCTCTTTTTCTTTTATAGATTTTCATGTGAAAGATTATTGTTTTTTTAAAAGCTTTTAAAAATTTTAATTTTTTATAACCAAATCGCATCTAAAATGCTATATATTTTACATGAAATGTCCATTTTTTCCCTACCCAATTCATGTTCCTAGTATGTGTATAAAATCATGCAAACAATTTTTTTCCCTAAAATATGCATAACTAAATGGAGAAAGCGTCCCCCTCCCACACTTAAATCATGCAGTGTCCTCAATGCATGTAAATGATATAAAAATGATGAGCTTATGCAAATACAAGATGAAACAATTAAATACATGAAGCATGAAGAATCATAAAACAAATGCTAGGGAGGAAATTAAGATATGGCATGTAAGCACATAAGGCAAGCAAAGTGCAAGTATAGACGAGAAAAGAAAAGAAAAGAAAAAAAGTAAATAAAATGCATAAAAATTTAAATGTCTGGGTTACGTTGCCTCCTAGAAAGATTCCCTCTTTTAGTGTCTTCGGCTAGACCCTTTGTTTTGCTCGAAACAATATGGAGAATTTATATTGTACTCTTATCAACCTGTGACCACTCAAAACAAAACTCCAAAGCAAACCAAATAACGAATCACAAAGTCAAAGTAAACAATAAAAAAACTAGTTCTAGTATTACTCATAAATTCATTTTCCAAATAAACACATAAACCTCTAACTTCTTGTTGTTACACCTTACTAAACAATTTTTTATTTGATTCCTTTTTAGCTACATTTTTTTCCAAAGATCTGGTCAAGAACTGTTTTTTCTATCATGCTGTGAAACTCTATTTTGTCCTAATGGCATCCTTTTTGTTGCTCCTTTTAGAAATTATGGCAATCAAAAGCCATTTTAAACAGCTCAAATGAGGCATCTTTACAATGCATTTCCTTTTAAATTCGTTTTAAGAACATAGAACTCACATGATTGTGTGTGGGCATAACAGTCTCATAGTTTAAAGAAATTAGGCCTAATTAGATTGTTTGTTACTTTGTTACTTTACAGTGAGATCAAACATCTTAGACAAAAAAGGGCAAAGTCTTGACTCTTTATTTGATAGTTCTCAGATGCCTTTTTTTAAGAAATAACAATGCACCTATGAATAAAATACTCCAGTTCAACTCAAGCTCATAAAAAAAAATTGTTGGAAAAATATTTTCTGAATTTATGTTAGAAATTCTTTCTTAAATCTGAATTGTAAACAACCCATTTTTTCATTAAAACATAGTCTCTGAAGTCCCAAAAAAATCTTCTATGCATGCTCAACACCGGGTTTTAAATGCTTTGAATAGTTCTATTTTAATTTTTATTTGGAACTATTTTTTTCTTTTGGTGAGTTTTCTTCTCTCTTTTCTTTTACCAACAAAGTATGCATTTACGAATAGTGGGAGAATAAGCATGGCATCTATCAATTTCTCAACTATGAACAGATCAGACCACTCCCCAACCTCCTTTTTCTTTAAAAAAATTTGAAACTTTTTGTCTAAACTTAGAAAACAGGTTCAAGCAGGTTTCAAAGTGAAAGGGTTTGAAAATATTGGTTAAACTGCTAAGTTAAACAAATTTGTAAACAGAGTTTGGACATTCCATTCTCAGTCATGTTTCACTGTATTTGTTCATGACTAACTCTAAGATAAGGAGAATAAAAGTCACTTAAACAATTGCTTGCAAACACAGGTTCAAGTATGGTGTGAGAGATAATGAAGCAAATTTCGTAGTGTGGGGCTTTGTAAAAAGGAAAAGTGTTGCATACTCCATATATTCTTTCTGAGATCAAAACATTAGTTTCATAAGATAAAAATTACCCACGCATATAGTCTATTAAACCAGCTCAGTGAGTTTTTGCTATTTTATTAGAATAAAAACAGGATTGATATTTCTCAGTCTTTTTCTTCTTCCCATTGCGGATTGGTTATAAAAACAGTGGGGTTCTAGTTGAAATAGTTTCAAATCAAACAATAAGCTCAGATTTCCCTAATATTGATAGTTCAGAGTACATAGGAAGTGAAAACAGAGGGGCGATAGAACTTACCTGTGACGTTTAGGGCATCTACAAGTGCAAAAGCAATCAACTGAATTTGGTGAGATGATGTGGCAGCAACTAAAGATATCCAATCAGTTTCTCATTCTCGTCTCAATGTCTGGTTTTCAGCTCATTGCACCTTAAAGTGCAGTAGTTTCCCGAGTTAAACTTTGTTGTTTATCCTGGAATGCATAGCTTAGTCTGTTCTTTAGTTTTCTCTGGACACAAGAAGTCAAGGGGCACTTAAAGAAGATCTTGCCAGCAATTTGTATCCTGCTCGACTTGGTATACCTGGGCGTGTAATTTACGACATGATTGTAGAGCATATGCACCCGCAAGTGTAACAGCTATCCCCTGTTTCATCATTCATTTGAAAACTTGGGCACAGAGGTCACCAGATCAACATACACTTTGCAGCACTTTCCCAGATGTTTGGTGTCACTTTCCATGTCCTGGTTCTCTGTCCATTGCTTCCTTAAATTGCAACAATTTCCTCGGCTAAACTCTGGGTTCATTAAGTTCTAGAATTCTGTGCCAAAAGAGAGGTGCATGACCCTATGCTACCAAGTACAATTCTAGAAATTGAATCTGATTTTTTGAATGCCCAAAGTTACTATCTAAAGAAAAGGTTAAACTCTAAGTTAAAGTAGCTACAGCTACAATAAGTTTTAAAAAATAATTTTTTTTGCCAGAGTTAAGTTAGCTGCCAGGAATTTAGTTTAGTTGAATCAAAAAGTTAGAGTTAAATGAACTCAAAGACTCAATTTTAATAAAAAGACACCAACATATACTCAACAAAAATTCATAATAAAAGAAGACTAATGAGTTTGGTCACAAACTGACTCAAAAACTAAAGAAACAAGAAGGGAAAAAAACTTGTAATTTAAATAGACACAATAGCCTAAGGACTAACCTAGACTTTAAAATAGACTTAAAAGACTGACAAAGTTAACACTAATAAAAACTAGCCTAAACAATAAACCAAAAGGCAACAAAAAGACTAACTTTCTCTCTTTTTTTAAATGTTTCTTTTTTTTTGCTTTTTTTTTCAAAATTTCTTTTTGAAACATAGCAAAAAACAAATTTTGCTACTGTCCTAAAGAAATGACAAAAAAGACTTGAGTAACTTGAAAGAATGAAAGGTACAACCACGAGGACCCAACCTATAAATAAGCAAACACTATATGGAATACACCAAAAGATACACCACCAAAGCATATTTTATTTGTCAACCAAAGATGACATGGCAACCATTCAATAACCTTTATGGGAAGCACCCCACAATCAATTGCTTGCCTCCTAGAGCAGTAGGAGCCCTGTAACTTTGATGGTGTTCTGAATATCATGGCATTGGATATCAACGGGAGAGCAAACGATGTGTAGACCACTGTTGGGGCGATCTACTTTGAACTTGAAGAACATAGTAGAAGCACTACTGGTGGTTCCTTCATCTCCATCACAAGGAGACCAAGTAGCCATACGAAAATGGCCACCGCCGACATAAAACATAGCATCAAACTCATACTTAGTCACTTTAACACGATAACCATTGTTGTATTCATACTTCTTTGAGGACCAAGTAACCTTGAGCTGTTGGCGCCTCGCAACATCATAGGCATAGAGGAAAACCCGGGACTTGAAGTCATGAATGTACAAGACATTGTCCACTAGAACCACATTACGGTACCTCCAGTGAAGCATACTCCCGATACGCTGCCACTCACCAGAACCAGGGTATAAAGCATACAGGGTGCCTTCATAGAGGTGCACAAGTAAACGGGAATTCGGAGGGTCGGAGATAACTCCTCCATCTGAAACTCTGCAACCCACAAGCTCAGGAGGCAACGGGGACAACTCCTTCCAAAATCCGACACTGGGATCAAAAACCTCCGGAGTGTGGAGGCAGCGAAATCCAAACTCATAAAGCTTTCCAAACAGTGATGCGCAAAAGGGAATAAAGCGATTTTTGATAGGAAGATCAATCTGCTCCCACACCCTACCTTCCTCTTCTTTCTGCAAATCCAACCGGCAGCCGCATTTGTAGTACACGACATAGGAACGGGCTCCATCTATTGGTTCGCATGTTTGGTCTCTGCGGGTCAGACCGCCTATAAGGTAAACCGATGGACCACCGTCCGAGCGCACCACAGCACCATCTCCTATACGATTCAACATTGATGGAAAGCAATTGCTCTTAATTTTACCTTCACTCAGATCCACCTGGTGAAATCGTACACGCCTGCAGTATACGCCATCTTCATCATAGTGTTTCGGCTCATCCGCACCCAACGTGCGCTCCAGAACCACCTCTGCCTTCTCATCTCCTCCTCCTCCTTCCATTGTCTCTCATCTGATTTCTCCCATTTCTTTTATTGCCTCGTTTTTCTCTTGTTTTCTTTCTCCCATTGATTTTGATAGGATTATGCTATACCCAATACTTATATCTCAATTTGTACCACACAAGTTTGCACTAACATTCTGTGTTAGTATAAAACTAATTTTTGTTAACGCACCAACACTTTGTGTCCGTGTAAATTTTTGTTAACACACCAACACTTGTGTCGGTGTAACCCGTCCAAATGTTTGTGCATAAGTGTGGTGCACAAATGATATACATTTTTTGGTGTAAATGTAGCATGATCCATTTTGATAAGGTGTGAGTTCTTTTGACAAATTACAATAGAATCGAGAAGAAAAAGAAATCTATATGATTGTGGGTGAAAAGTTTTGTGGGGATGAAAAGATGAGGGTGAGAGGTTTAGCGTGATATGTGTGTCTGAAATAAGGATAAATCCGATGCGGGATCTAAGGGTCAGAATTGCATCAAAATTAGGTGCACCAAAATGGTTTGAAAATGCATCATGTTGAAACATTATGTTTTGCAATGACTATTAACAAAAGTCAAGGTTAAACATTGTCTTTTGTTGTACTTTGGTGTTATTTTTAACTAATTTGGTATTTACTTATGGTTAGCTTTATTTACTGTTTGAAGGCAAAGATACAATTAAAAATATTAGTTCTAGATGATAATGAAACTCTTACAACTATATCAAAAAATATTGGTACTCTGATGTCTTTTAGAAAAATTGGAATTAAAACGAATTTATCGAGTACACTTTTAATTCCTCAAATATTATGTATTTTGCTTTGGCGTTGTTATACATTGATTAAAAATCGTGTTAGAAATATATTTACTTAATTCTAAAAAATATATTGCATTGAAGAAATTCAGAAACAAAAATTTCATTTGACCTCGTGCATTGCACGGGTCAAAATACTACTATTTTCAAATACAAAAGGAATGGATAAATTTAAAGGACATACTAAATAGAAATTTCAAAAAATCACAAAAAATAGAAGAAATGATACAAGAACATCTATCGAATTGATAGAAGAACAATGATGGAAAAACCTGGATTAATCAACAGCACATGTCAAACCAGATCGAATACGGATGTTTAAATGGATTACGTTTTTGAAATAAAAATGAGAGAAGATACGGAGATAAGGATACGGAAATTGTGGTTAGAAAGGAGGCGGCGTAAAAGTGATGCATACAATATAGAGAAGATACAGATTGTGGTAGTATATTTGGACTTAGACCCAAAATATATTTAATGGGCTTATCAATTTTTCAATGGGCTTAGCAAATTCATTATTATATTTCGAAACACTGAAGTTATGATTTCAGTTTTCAACATTTTTAAAATAGTATACTTTTATTTTTTATTAACTTATTCTAATGTTTATTTAAAAAATTTAAAAAATAAATTTTTAAATTTTATCTGCAAATAATATATTCATATAGGCAGACATGTTGAATATATGACGTCATTGTTGTCTTCTCAAAGTATTCATCCATCAAGTTTATCAGAAAGATAGAGATCTTGCGATCTAATAAATCCCTTTAGCGACATTAGAAACGATTAGTTCACTACATAGTACTTTTTTTAAGAATTTCATATATAAAAATTGGTAAATTGTATTTATTAAGAATATGCAGTCTTACAATCAATGAATGTATAAATTATTATATGATGTTCTAATTTAGGTGTTTGTACCACACATATAACAACAACGAAGAAATCAAAATAATCTGAAGAGGAACTGTAACGCCACAAAATATGGCCTAAAATTTATTATAAAACAAAAGTAGTTTTTGTCTAATAAAGAATATTTTTACGTTTGACCAAAAATAAATGGATTTTCAAAATAATGACTTTGTGTAAAAACTTATTTTTATGGATATGTCTCGAAGAGACGAATCCAACGGTATATTTTATGAACCAATTTAATTTATAGATTTCAAGTTATGACGATTTTAAATATTAAAATTTGTAACTTTGACCCATAAAATAAACTCAATTCAAAAGTGATTTCATCAGATTAGAAATCACAATTTTGACACTTGACAAAACTATATTTGTCATTTGGATTTAATTCATATATTTTTATCTCATTTATATTATTAAATTAATTTATGACTAAGACAGACCCAGACACTGAAAAAAATATAAAAGTTCTCAGAAAAATATTTTGATTACGTCAAAATTCTAGTTTTGACAGTCTGATTCAAAAAACACAATCCGTTTTCAATTCGGAGCAGTTTGGGCGAAAAAGCGCATACCGTTTAGAGTAAATTGATCGGTTTGGACAAGAGTCCAAAACTAATATCCTAAAATCTCTTCCAATTCTCGTAACAATCTCCATTCAAGCCTATTAGCCACCCTATTCCACCTAACAAAGCCACTAACACCCCATTAACACAATACTCCAAAAAAAATAAATATATGATACTCCACCACCACCATCTTCATCATTATCATCATGTTCAACCATCATCACCATCATCTCATCTCTCCCCTCTCCATTCTCTCTCTGTCGGCCAAACCAAAGGAAAAGAAAAGAAAGTTCATCTCCATAGTTGGTTCAAGGAAGAAGAAGAAGAAGCAAGAAAACCATCCAAAGTTCTAAAATCCTGAGTTCAAACACAGCAGCCCACTTCTAGGTAAAAACTGAAATTTTCCATCCATTATCTCGAAAT